CTACGGGAGCTCGATCCCAGACCCTATATATATATATAGATATATATATATATATATAGGGTATATAGTAGGTATATTAGGGTCCCAGGGTTAAGGGCCCATACTAGGGGTCCCAGGGTTCTACCTTAGATTTTGGGCTTACCTGCGACTGCAACTTAGTAAGAAAGGGTCACAACATCCTATGTTCTTATGTTCTTTGGCTTGAGGTCACAGGTAAAGTTTAGGGTTTAAGGTTTGGGGGTGTTGCCTGAGAGCACCAAAACCTCAGACTCAGTTCACATGCAGGCCCGAAGAGCAATGCAATGCACCTTCAGGGTTTAGGGTTTAGGGTTTAGGGGATAGAGTATATGCTTGGGCCTCAGAGGGGGTTCCTACCATGAGACTGAAGTACAAAGGCCCAGAGCCCTAAACCCTAAACCCTAAACCCTAAACTCTAACGGTTCAAGCTCGAGCGTTTGGGGTCTAAGTTTGGCGCCGATCTCTCCATGACTCCATGTCGGTTCAGATCTTTCAAATCAAGAGCAACGCCACAAATCCGAGATCCTAAGCTGAAGCCACAGGGTGAACCTGCCGATGCTCATGAAGGACCATGCAAGTTTAGGGTTTAGGGTTTAGGGTTTAGGGAGAGCACTGGGGCCCTATAAACCCCTAAATCCGCAACCCTAAACCCTAACATGCAGGGGCTGTGCCATGAACTTGGTTGCCTTATCTTATGCTGCGACACTTACCACCATGTCAAGTTATCCCACCAAGGTACTAAAGTCTAGGGTCCGCAGATCGAATATGTCAGTCGACGTGCATGCAAAGCTCTTCGATATTTCCACGTGTCAGGATGTAGGAACTTCACATACCCTAAACCCTAAAACACTAAAACCTTAAACCACTAAAACCCTAAAACCCTAAAGCCCTGAAGCCCCAAACCCCGAAACCCTAAACTCTAAACTTAAACCCCTGAGCCCTGAGAATCCTCTATAAACCCTACAGACCTTCCCTAGAATCATGTCTTCGGGGTTGAGGGGTAATTCAAAGGTTCCTTTAAACGGTTTAGGGGTTTAGGGTTTAGGGTTTGGGGTTTGGGGTTTAGGGTCCTCTAAATGGTACTATAAGGGATCTAGGGTTTTGGGGCTTAGGGTTTGTTTAGACTTTGGGGCAAGGTTGCTTTAAGCGGTACTATAAGGGATTTAGGGTTTTGGGGCGTAGGGTTTGTTTAGACTTTGGGGCTTTGTGTTTGGGTTTGGTTGAGCTTTCAGGGTGTATGTGCAGGTTGCATTCATTTGGTGAGGGCAAGGGGTTCCCTCCTCAAAGAACCCCGTTCAAACTTTCGGGCCTTTAGGTTTCAGAGTTCAAGCATTAAGGATTACATGCACCCTGAAAGGATTGAAGGTTCGATCTCCAGATAAGGATTACTAGTGCACACCCATTATATTACGGGCCAGGTGGGCCTTATTGTTCCTGGCGCCATTCATGGGCCGCCGGAGTCGACCCTCTGGCCCTAAACCCAAGCCCTAAAGCCTAAACCCGAAGCCCTTAACCCTAAACCCGAAACCCGAAACCCGAAGCCCTTAACCCTAAACCCTCGACCCGAAACCCTAAACCCTTACCCACTGAAGCCTGAGACCCTAGACCCCTGAAGCCTTCAACCCTAAAACCCTAAACGCCGCTGAACCGGAGCACTGAAGCCTCAAAGTGTCGCCGTAGAGGGAGGAGACAGTCAATGCAGATCCCCGATACAGGGTTTAGGGTTTAGGGTTTATTCGGGGTTTTACTGTTTAGGGTTTTGAACGAATCTCCCACCCTCCCTTTTCCGTAGGGCTCCAAATATACAACCAGTACCTACTTTCGGGTCTCACTAAAGTCTAAAAACAGTACGCGATCACTGAGCCACTCGTCCGGGCTGAGTCAGTGATCAACATGATCCCATCGCACGGAATCCCATCTGGATTCGGGTGGTTCGACCAGTCCCACGTCCAATGGTTCCTGCAGGGCTGGAACCACGAGGTCTACAACTTGCGGACCGGACGCAGGGATCGCCAGTACTGATGGTCATTTTCTATTCTACTTCGAGTTCATCGTGCAAGCGCATGATCCACCTCCCTAACCGGACGGTAGCCTGAGCAAAGCTTGGTTACATCTCTGGTTAGAAGTGAAGTGGAGATTTTAAGCGCTCAAAGCAACATCCTAGCGGATCGGTGAGCGTCCGATCTCTGAAGCGGGATGTAGAAAGATGAACAGCCCATCCTTTTGTGAGTTTGATGTTGCTACTCGGAGGGGTTTTTGGGATTGCTGCAGGGATCAGAATGTTAGAGCCCGTAAGGAAAGGAGGTTTATAAAGCAGAGGTCTGGACTACATGCTTGAGGATGCTTTGTTTGCCTGCCCCTAACTGAACACAACAGGGCCTTCTGAAGAAATTTCATCATGAACTACCTAAGCCTTAAACCCTAAACTCTTGACCCTACACGCCACTACCCAAATGTAGCAACTAATGTAGCTTGAAAAGGGATGTGGCCTTAAACACCATGCTTATTCTGGGTAAACCCTCAACTTTGCCTAGCCCCTACTACCCTGCGTTTTAGGGGCGTATATAACCAAGAGGGTCCATATGTATATATGTATATTGTTATTATTATTATGATCATTATTATTGTCATCATCCGTATTATGGAATTAAGTCCACAAAACCATACTAAGGATGATCTTTTGCGACCTAATTCCATAATGGTAATGTCAATGGACCCTCCGGGTCTGGACATCAGGAGGAGGAGCCTTAAAAAGGCAGGTTTCACGGGGTTCAAGTTAGGGTGTAGAGGGTTCAGATAGCCACTAATGCTGCCGCCTCCCCTAAACCCTAAACCCCAAGCCCGAGACCTTAAGCCTTGCACTCTTACACCCGATATGCCCTAAGCTTTAAGCCTTCAGCCCTGAGCCCTAAACCCCTAATTAGGGGCCTTAATAATTAGGGCTTGGGGCCTTGGGGCCCATGATACTATAATTAGAACAAGGAACTCCCCCAACAAAAGCTAGTACTATCGGTAATTCCCTAAACTCTAAACTCTAAACCCTAAACCCTAAATCCTAAACCCCTAAACCCAATTATTTCGGCCCCCTACATTAAACCCTGAACCCTAAACCCCAGAACCCCGGAGCCTCCCATGGCATTCCCGCGAGGATGACCCGCCCACGGCAGATCCCAGCCCAAAGCACTCGATCAGCAGCTTTGCTTATGGTAAGGTTTAGGGTTTAGGGTTTAGGGTTTAGGGTTTAGGGTTTAGGGGTTTAGGGTTTATAATAAGGTCCTAAGCTAGGGTTTCCTTCAAGGGTTCCTTTATGGGATTAGGTTTAGGGTTTAGGGTTTAAGGTCGTGAAATAGGGTGCCCTTTAAAGGTTCCTTTACGGGATTAGGTTTAGGGTTTAGGGTTTAGGGTTCAAGTTTCAAATAGGGTTCCCTTTAAGTAACTAGTGTTATGAAGAAGCTAGCTACATTTATATTTGTTCATACAGCTTTCGTTAATTGAGCTTATAAGCTTGCTTACTCACTAAGTCCCATGGTCCTCCAAGTGCCCATAGACAGGGTTTGGGGGCTGGGGGTTCGGGGATTTGGGGTTTGGGGGTTTAGCGGTCGATGGGATTTAGGCTTTAGGGTTTGGGGGTTTGGGTTTAGGCCTAAACCTTAAACAAAGCTCTTTCTGAGCTTCTTCAAGTTGTTTCTACATGAAAAGACCCGGCTTTGCGAAGGCTGAGTAAGGCTGTAGAACTGTTCCTTTGGGTCGGGTGGCGCTTGGTTTCAAGAGGTCTTTATGCTAGTTCCGGAGAGCACACAAGCTCTTCGGAGCCTTGCAGCCCCGAATTCACAATAGCCTTAACGACTCCATCGAAATCAAGCACTCTAAACCCCAGGCTCCTAAACCTTAAACGCCCAAACCCTAAATCTGAGTTTTGGCCGATACCATAATCTAGGGGGGCCTTCATAATTAGAATAGGGTTTTGGGGGGGTCCATTATACTATACTTATAGGCCCCTACATTAAAGCAATTGCTGACCCCGAACTCGCGAAACCACCCTAAACCCTAAACCCTGAAACCCCCGTTCAGGAAGCCGGGTTTTCGAGGTCCCACCAACTACCACATTGATGGAACTAGGCCCTGAAGGACCATGTTTAGGGTTTAGGGTTTAGGGTATTGTTGTGGTTTTAGTGAAATCATCGCTCGAAATTGTGTGTATGCATGTGTGTATGAATGTATTTATACATATGCATTAACTTGTTATGCATATACATGCATATGAACTGCTCCATATATATATATATATATAACTATCTGCACATGTGTACATACCGGAAACCCCGAAACCCTAAAACCCTAAACCCTACTTGGAGGTTCATGGGACTTGGTAAGTACACTTATATTTACCTTAACTGGGGTTATATGAGTAGTTATAAGTACAGTTGCCTTATTTATAGCCCCAGTTGCTAAGTCCCATGCCTAAACCCTAAACCCCAAACCCTAAACTCCTAAACCATAAACCCTAAACCTAACCCCAATTGCTAAGTCCATGAACCTCCAAGTAGACCCTCTTCCGAATCTCAGGTCTGACCCAAAAAAGAAGGCAGCTGTCCTTTGTCGATGCCGCTTCGAGCATTAAGGGTTCCTGTAAACGTTTAGGGTTTAGGGGTTTAGGGCTTTTAGGGTTTAGGGTTTAGGACTTTAGGGTTTAGGAGTTTAGGGTTTGGGGGTTTAGGGGTTTCGATGTTTAAGTTGTAGAGTTTGAAGCTCTCAGCATAGGGGTGTTAGTCGACTTTTGTCTAAGATCCCTCAACCCTACACCCCTGAACCCTAAACCCCTAAACCCTAAACCCCTAAACCCTAAACCCATGGGGCTGTGGATGTCGAGTTCAGTGTTTCGGGAGTTGTTCCTCGGCGAGTTTGGGCTCTGTCAGATCTAGGGTTTAGGGTTTAGGCTTTAGGGTTTAGGGTTTAGCGTTTATGGTTTAGGCTTTAGGGTTTAGGGTTTAGCGTTTATGGTTTAGGCTTTAGGGTTTAGGGCTTAGGGCTTTAATCCTAAGAGGGTCCATATGCTATGATTCTGGAAGTAAGTCCCCAAAACCATTATATCGGGTTTAGGGTTTAGGGTTAGGTCCCCCAAGACCATCATAGAGGGGTAAGGTCCCCAAAGCCATGCCGAGGCCTGCCTGATTCAGCTCGTCGTCGCATCACGGGTCGTCAATACAGTCTTAGGTCTGGGGATCGTCTTGGCATACATTTCAGCATTAAATAATGCCTAGGCGGGTCGTCCTGGCAGCCTGACGTTTGCGGATCGACTTAGCACAAACTTCAGCCTTACCCAACGGCCAAAGGCGGTGCGGGCAGATCTTTTTCGTTTCTGGGTGGAGCTGGCATCAGACCTGGCGGTGGAGACGGAGGTGGACCCGAGCATGGCAAAGATGGAGGAGGTGGCAAAGGTGCTGGTGGATGTGGCAACGGTAAAGGCAGTGGAAAGGCCAAGGACGGAGGAGGTGGCAAAGGCGGTGGTCTCATAGGGTTTAGGGTTTAGGGTTAAGTCCCAAAACCATCATAAGCGGGCCGAATTCCATAATGGTAATGTACATGGACTCTTTGGGAATTAGGAGTGAGTCTTCTGGTTTTCAGCTTCGGGTGAGTGAAGACTTTGAACAAGGCTACTCGGGGTTTGCGGACCCTGAACCCTAATCTCTACCCTAATCCCTAAACCCTAAACCCTAAGCTCTAAATCCTACTCCCTAAACCCGAATCCCTCAGCCCCAAACCCCAATCCCCAAGCCCTAAGCCCTAAACCCCTTTAAACCCTAATCCCTAAACCCTGATCCCTCAGACCTAGACCCTAATCCTGATACCTTGAGCCCCTATAGAACCCTTAAAGGAACCCTTTGAAAGAACGGTTTGGACCGTTTAGGCAGACTCATGAGATCGCGGGTTGCTGTTGCGGGCGGCATGAAGCTCTAAACCCTCGTGCTGAGAAATTCCTTGGGGCTCCGGCGACCCAAGATTCGCAAGAGAGTTTAGGGTTAAACCTTCAGGGTCGCTGTTCTGGGATGTCCAAGAAGTAGATCCTTTAAAGTACCCTTTAATAGTATAGGGTCCCAAAATAGGGGATCTACTTTTTTAGATCTTTCCGGGAGTTTGGCTACTAGTCAGTCTAGACCCGAACATAGTAGGTTACTTTCAGCCAACGTTGAAAACCCAAGTTGGTGTAGCAGCTGAAGTCGGCGGTCGCTGAGGAACGAAACTGACACCGCACTCTGCAGAGCAAGGCAACAGCAGCTGCAAAGCTGCAACAGCCCCATACAACCCATGTTGCGTGTATGCGGAGCCCTTGGGACTACGCCAGGATCTTCCAACTGGCCCTACGCCTGTACGAAGAGCTTAAATCCTAAACCCTAAACCCTAAAACCCTAAACCCGAGAACCCTATATAAACCCTAAACCCTAAACCCTAAACACAGGCACCCAGGTTCTCAAAGTAACCTAAGGACTTGATCACAGCATCTTCACCCTCAGCTCCAAACCCCAAACCCTAAACCTTAACCGTATCAAACCCGAGCCAGAGGCTATTCTAAACATTGACGCCCCATACATGAAGGCCTCTGAGTTGAGATTATACTCTTAAGCCAAGCCTTATTTCAATTATCAAGCCTTGTTAAAATTAGGAAGGCCTCCCCAAACCCTAAACCTTAAACCCTAAACCTAAGCCCCTAAACCCCTAAACCCTAAACCTAAGCCCCTAAACCCCTAAACCCTAAACCCTAAACCTGAGCAACCTGAACAACCTGAAGTTTCTAAGGGCCCCTGTGCCCAAATTGTATATACTTTGGCCTCAAAGTAGTCCCTATTTGGGTACTTTGGGGCTCAAAGCATCTACTCGCTGAAACCCTAAACCCTGAAGCCCTAAACCCGGTACATGCCCTAAACCCTAGACCCTAAACCCTAAACCCTAAACCCTAAACCCTAAACCGCATGGACAACCTTTTGGGATTCCCTTGAAGCACTAAAGACGTCAGTAAGTGATAACGTGTACACGCAGCCCACATCACAAGGTATGTTGTGGACGGTATATCCTGAACCTATGCCCTGAACCCTAAAGCCTAAAAGGGTTTAGGGTTTTGGGGTTTAGTGTTTAGGCTTTAGGGGTTTAGGGCTCAGGGTTTAGGGTCCTAAACCTTAAACCGTGGTACTTGAGGGGAAGCTCCCCAAGGCTTCAATAGAATGCATCGGCGAAGCCATCGAGGATGCCACTCGGCAAACAATCAAACGGCTTTGGGCCTGTGGGCGTTGCGTCGTTGCTGGTTCTCGTTTTCTAGGGTTTAGTTTTTAGGGTGGTTGAGTGTGTTTGAATTGTGTTTTAGGGTTTGGGGTTTAGGGCCTGTGCTTCTTCCTGCAGCCAAGCAGACCTTTACGACGCTTTTCGGGCTTGCCTAGACCCCTCAACTACCCCCTATAATACCTTGAATACTCGGGGGTTCCCGGTAGGGCCGAAGTCGGGGTGTTCGAGACTTCGGTGTTCCCACAGACTCCAATACCCCTTAATTAAGGAATATACCTTAAATCAGATTAGGGATCCTACTATAATTTAAAGTATATTCTGTAATTAAGGTGTATTGGAGTCTCTGGGTTGTAGGTGCTCAGGGTTGTCGGGTTGACCCTAAGGGTCCAAAAGGACTCGATATTCCAGGACCCCCCCAAGTGCGGTTTAATAGAGCCCTTATGGTCCTGAATAGTGGGTATTTCGGGTGTGTTACAAGGTAGTTGGGGGAAGTTGGGGGTCTGGGATCAGGTACCCGGGCTTAGGACAGTATTCATGCCATGTAGGGTGGTATTTGGGAGAGTATATTATGATTTTGAGTGTTAGGTACTTGGACCCTCAGGCTCAAGTGACGGGCCAATCAAAGACCTGCAATCCTGTTCTAGGGAGATGCATAAACCCTACACCCTAAACCCTGGCACGCCAAAAACAGCTGCATATCCCCAAACCCGACAGACTAGTGGGTTATGACACCTTAATTCAGGGCTCAAACCCTTAAACAAGATCCTGGGTTTCGGCACAGGTAGCTCAGCTCCGAATAGCAGGTTATGACCCCTTGATCAGAAGGTAGAAGCCGGAAAACGCTAGGTTTTTGGATGCTCAGGTGGGTCCTAAGCCCTAAACCCTAAACCGTGGATAAGGTCTGCTCTGCTAAAAGTTTGTGCTTTCAGGGTATTTAGAGCTTCGGGCTGATCGAATCCAGTTTACAGGGCTTTTAAGGCTTAGAGGGTTTAGGGTTTAG